GAACAAAGACAATAGGAGGGTTAAATATATTGTTAGAATTAGGGTTAAAAAGTCAACATTAATGCGTGTCGCTAAAAAAAAAATCTGTATCAATCTAGATAACTGACTTTCACCAAAACTACTTCATATCAAAGAAATAGTCCCTATGAAAACATGTGTTTTGAGCAGCCCTGTTTCCTAGATCATGTTTACATAAATGTGTTTGTAGGATGAGGAAATTAGCATAATTATTCAAACAAACGAAGGGCTTTATTTGTGTGCTGTGCAATTTATGGTGAAGTGTTCATGTGAGTAGTGGGTGTGAAAGGACCTGAAAATTGACAGGGTTTATGTCTGTTGTTAGATTTAAGCAGCAAAAGTATTTTTGGTTGAAACTTTGGTTCATTGTAGAAACTAGATTTTAAAATGATCCAACTGAAAAAACCCAACCCAGAAATCACAGAAATTGTTTTTAAAACATTGACAAGCAAACCCAAAACTGTCTTCAACACTGCTGTTATTTTTAGTTATTTGCATAAATTAATTCCTTAAAGAATGGACATCAAGTGAGAATTAATTGGGAAATTATGCATTTTTTATCATTATCATGGAGCCTTTTTTGCCTATCCCCTTTCTCCATTTGCACACTGAACTGCACTTAATTAGCCCATTATCTCAGATCAATGCATTTTCAACAAGCGATTACAGGCCGGTGTGATAAAACACTCATGAATCTCCTCAGGTTCTAAAGAATTAATTAGTACCATAAATGGCATGCATGAGATGTACAGTAAGGTTTTTTCATCATTTTTCGAAATGACCACATCTTTATGCAATCCATCTTCGGTGGCTCCTGGCTCAGGTTTGGCCTTTATAAAGGGGAGTTGAGATCCACACACCACTGGAGGACACTCGAAAACTCAGCAATACGTCACTAAAGATAATAGATCTCAGCTGTGGATATGGAAACCAGAAGATGAGTGTAGGAACAAAGGGTGTGTTAGGGCAAGAACAGAAATGGATGCAAATGCGTGAAAAAAGGAAACAGAAAGAGAGACCTCTAGGTTATCTATGCATTAGCAGACTCCTTTGTGTTTTTTCAGCTCCATGCAGACGCCTAATGGACGAGATAGAGTGAGTAAGCGCTTTGTCAGAGGCGAGCATACAGCTATTCTTCTCCCACACTCACTGTGGTGACACCTTGGCCCCCTCTCCACCCTTCATTAAAGCCTCTAATGCTAATTTATCCCACCGTTAGCTTTATTAATACACTTGCAACTTTCTCAACGGTGCACAGGCTGCTCGGATGCCGTGTTCCTTCATTCACTTGTCGGGTAGGAACACAAAAGGGGCTTTTTTTGAGGGGCTGTATGGAAAGCATTGATGCAACCAAGGAGTCTAAAGATATCAATGCATACTATATTTTCTTTGTGCCCTGTTTCTGATTCCCCTACACCTTATATAACAAGATAATATTAATGGAAAACTACTGGAAAAGTACGAGGATCAGTCATACGAGGGGAAAGAGGGGGAAATAAGACAGAATTAAGTCAACATCTCCAGAAACAAAGTCAAACTTTCAGAACTCATGCTCACAAGTCTTCGACACCTCCACCTTTTTCTTGACATCTTCACTTTATTCTCAAAATGTAGAATGCTCCTCTCATTTTTCGATGTACTTATCCCTTTCTCGTCCGTACAAACTCAATTAAATGGAGGGGAAATAATAAGAAACAGTACCATAGAGTTGTCTATGTATTTCAGGCAGTGGCCAAATTGTACTCAGAAAAGAAAACCAAATACATGGGACTCGTGGTTCTTTTATGAATGCTCTGATTGCCTCCTCTGTGTTTAAAAAGGAACAAACATTCCAACTTGCACACACGTAACATCAGGGTCTTAGTTAACCCTAATGGATGCATAAAACAGCATATTTGTTTGGCCACAAATGGGTAAAAGCTTTCATTTGTGCGAGATGGAAAGAATAATCTAAAAGTAAAGGCACATCAGGCCTTTCGTTATAGTTAATTTTCCTTTTGCTTTCATGCCGGCGTTCATTTAGGTGGGCAAGGTTGTTTGTATTTGTGAGTGATGAAGAACTCTTTTAAAATGCAACTCTTGTAACGAGTTCCTAGGCTCCTGGATGGATTATGCTGCTGTGTAAGGGCCCCCATTTCCTAGCGACCACTTTATACGTGTGCGAAAGCTATATATCGACTCTATGCAGGCAGTCATCTGCTAGCTTTGTCAGATAGATTATGCAAATAATATGAAATGTTAGAGGTGGCTGAAATAGTATGCAAATTCATTGGCAAGGGTGGTTAAAATGGACCCGTAGCAATATCATGACCAAGAGCTGCATCATTACTGGAACAGAGCAGAAAGATGAGTGTGCATGTCATGGCTCAAAGCGTCATAAATGTAAAGGGCAAAGATTCAATTTTTAGTTATTGAGAATGAAAAGTTGTGACTCCTTCTGCCCCCGGTTGTCACGAGTGCCCAGGCATAATAATCATACCAAAGCATGCGGATGATGATTAAGACATGAAGGTAAAAATAAATCACTGTAATACATTTTTTTGGATGAGTCTCCCCTCTTGGTAGTCGGGGGGCGCTATGCTCTATGGTAGATGTGATTCAAAGACAGAACTTACTTGTTCTCTTACTTGTTACCAGAAATGTGTTAGCATGTTAGCACTTCAGGCTTCCCTCATTTCAAAGTCAATGGTCTTGTTGAGAGGTAATACAAGCTTACAATATTTGTTTAAG